TTATTGAAGATGGCTGAAGCTGAAGCACTACATCACGCAATAACAAATTTTCAAGATGGGAATACACATACATTATTTTGGGTTTGTTGGAGTATAACACATTATTTTCAACTAACTATTTACAACTAACACATAATGTATTACGATGTAGAAATAACGGGCCCAACACTGCCCACAATAAAGTTGAAACTCCAAACTTTCTCAACAACGATCCACATCCCTCACACTGTTTTCCCAAAACTTGATTTGCCTCCATTTTTAAGCCGTGACATCTTTTATTCTCCACTAGAGCAATTAGACCATACTCGCACATTGTTGGAGTCCCCGCTGAATTACGACTTGCCACCATCTCATATTACTTGACCTTAACTCAAGTATTGAATTATGACAAGCGACATGCTAAGGTTCAGTTACAAAACCCCATTAATCACTGCACTCGGGGGACATCACATTTGAAACCCATTCAGAAGGTGGAGAGGACTCCATTTAGCTGAAAAATGCACTTGATATTTTAATGCGTTCCCCAAAGACCGGAGCAATTTGGCTTCCAGTGCCATTCCAATACATTGTTTCTGAAATAGTGACACAAGGACTTTTGGATGAATGTCTATTGGGTTAAGATGTGAGATGTGTCAAAAATGAAAAGTTTTGGTCCAAAGTTTCAAAGTTACTGCACAACACAAGAGAAAAGTGTGTTATAATCAGTTAACGAATGACGGAATGTATCACGTTGCATTTCTAGAAGAAGGAGCTCAAAGAGGATGAGAATATATAGAATTTTCTCTTTTATTTTTATGTCTAAACATGTTATATTTTTTCTGCACAATTTTAGAAGGTGAGAAAATCATAAATCATCTCTTTTTACATGGTGTATGTGCACTTTAGGTCGAATAAAAGAAAAGACTTCTGCCAAACAAGGTCACCATCCACATCCAGAGCAGTGCAGTGGATACTTTGCAATGATTATTTATGTACATGTTTTTTATTGTTGTTGTTCTAAAGATAATACAAAATTGTGAAGACAGCAATGACTTAAAATAACAATTCACAATTTCTACAATTCATTCACTGTTTTAATGTAATATGTTATTCAATGTAACATACATTAAATAAAACAAAATACATCTAACTACTTGGCTTCCACATGAAAGTTTGGCCACCTAAACATGCGGAAGCCAGATATCCTCAGACCTATGAAGCTGTGCAGGGCAGGGCCTGATTAGTACTGTGATGGGAGACCACTGGGAACAGCAGGTGCCACAGTGGGTCGGCTGCGGCTGTAAAGTGCCATATCTGAGTGTCCTTATGCAGAAGACAGATGAGTCTGGTGTGTGTGTGTGTGTGTGTGTGTGTGTGTGTGTGTGAATGGTTGGTGTTGGAGGAGTCGATGGCACAGACTGGTTGCCTCGCTTCTGTCATTGTGCCCCAGGGCAGCTGTGGCTACAGTATAGTTTATCGCCATTTTGTTTGGAGTCAAAGAATAATGACATGTGAAGCGTCTTGAAAAACACTGTATAAAACCAATGCTTTATCATTATTAATATAATTGTGTGATATATTAATAATTTAGTAAAATGGCTTCTATATATTTCTAAAGGCTGCAAATGTTAGTGTTTACAACTAAATTAACCAGTGTGGAATTTAAAACAAACTTCTACATGCATTATTCCATTCTACATGCATTATAAGGTCGCACAATTTTTAACTTTCCCCTAGGTTGCTTTGCCATAGCTGTTGCCGCTCCCAAACCCAAACAATTTCTCTATTGGAAATATCCTCTTGAGCTGCTCTGGAGGTTGCACAGCCCACAGCGTTGACTTTCCAATACCACGGACTATGCCTTGGCCAACAGTCTGAGGAGGAATTATTTCCGGAAGCTGGGAGCATGCTCGTGGGCACACGCAGAGAGAGAGAGGGAGACAGAGAGAAAGGGAGAGGGAGAACGAGCGAGATTAGAAGTCCTCTCTCGGTCCGCAGAAATACAATAGGTTAAACCACCTGCTGGTTTATATGTTTCTCCAACTCTGCGGCAATCTCTGAGCATAACACCTCAAGGTCTTCCAGTCAGAACAATGACACAGGCCACGCTTTTATGCAGTACAGTGAAGTGGTGTAAATAGTGTTTGTTTTGTGCACGGTATAACATGACCGTATCGTGATGACATTCTGGTCAAATGGTCAAAAGAGGAAAGAATGAGGACGGAGTGCTGAAAAAAAATCAAACTAAACCAGGACATAACATGGATTACAGAGTTGATAGAAAACAAACCAGGACTGTTGCACAAGGATATTTTCTATTGCACATTTCATGGTATTTTTCATTCACTTCAAACACCGTGGTGCTAAACTACTGCTGTAGCCATAGCTGCCCTGGGGAAAACTGATGGAAGAGAGGCCAGTAATCTATATCATTGGCACCTCCGACCATCTTGCCCACAAACACATACTCACAGACCAGGCCCATCCCAGGCATAATGTGTCTTGCCTAAGGACAGCAGAGGTCTTCATCATGGGACTAACTAGGCCCTACCCATGCTTTGCTTCTAGGATCTGGCTTTCACATGCAGGTGGCGCCTCAATATGTCACTCAGATGACTGGTGTCAAATAGAGCTGATTGGCTGCTGCTTGGGTACTCCGGGCAACGGCCAATCTCGTTAAAAGAAACTCCGAAAATTACGACATTGCTCAAAAGCACATTTCAAATTGAACTTATGATATGAAAATAACACATGGAAGACTCAATATAAGTTTTGCTCGAACTTGCTATGGCTTCTATTGACCTCCGTTGAAAAGTAAGCACCTCTACCTTGGCGTTTATATGGACCCTCTCATTTAAACCCCACATCAGCCTCATCTCCAAAATATCCACTCACCTCCAATACATCCAGAACTCTACCACCCGTCTCCTCACAACCCCGCTCCAGAGACCACATCACCCCTGTCCTCAAACAACTCCACTGGCTACGGGTCCCATACCGCATTCAAAACAAGGTCCTCCTCCTCACCTACAAGTCTCTCCATAACCTGCCCCTTCATACCTCACTGGCCCCTTTTATTCCCACAAAGCTAAGGCCATCAGATCAAATGTCCATATAAGGAATTTGGCTACATCAAGTTTATGTCCGAATGAGCCTGTTCCATATTTGGGAGGCACTACGGGTGACGTCAACACAGTCCGTCCACTTCTAATACACGGCCAATGGAGAATACTAATGAATACTAAGAACAGACGGCATTGATTTAAATATCTACCCTCACTGTTTGAACATCGGTAAAGTCACTGATGTAGAAAACCACACAGTAATGACGTAAATGCAAATGTATGGATTAACCTATCATTCATCTTTACCTTTTATCAGCATACGGCGCTTATTTACCCGTTGTTTTCATTCTTATCTCTGTCCAAACGCTGAATAGCTCAGAGCACCACGGGGTTGTGTCTTACCCCCTTCCATGTTTACTCTCAGTGTTTGCCCGAAGTCTTAGGGCCTCGTTGCCTGGATGGATGGAATTAATTGATTCATGCTTTTATCCAATTAGTGCTCCTCCATGCAGTTAATCAGCTGGCAGAGGCTGGGTCGGATCCAGAGGCAGGCAGATGTTCTGTGTGACGAACAATGACTGCTCTCTTGACCCATTAATGAGACGTGGTTTCAATAAACAAAGACGCCATTTTAGAAAACAATATCTGAATTATGTATGCATTTGTTTTTTTTATGTATACACAAGGATACATGCATAGAATCTGTATAATATATCAATGATCAGTCAATAATAAACTCAAGTTACGTTCTAAGGTTACATGATTTATACAGGACGGCACGGTGGCTGAGTGGATAGCACTCTCGCCTCTCAGCAAGAAGGTCCTGGGTTCGAATCCCGGCCGGACCAGGGCCTTTCTGAGTGGAGTTTGCATGTTCTCCCCGTGTCTGCGTAGGTTTCCTCTGGGTCCTCCGGTTTCCCCTACCACTAAAAACATGCACAATAGGTCTGGCATGCGCCTCCTGTACTGGCGACCCCGCTCCCATCTCTGTGTGGAGTGAGTGGACCAATGCCCAAAAATAATAACAATTGTAAACCGCTTTGTGACTCTGGTCTGTGAAAGGCGGTATTTATAAATAAAGATTAGGACTATGGCGTTATGGGCATGGAACAATGGGTGCTGGGAAATGTCTTAGTAGATGCTCAATAAAAAAAATCTTGTCTTTGTCAAATAAAGTTCTCTATCTATCTATATAATTACTAATTTTGTTAGGTTTGTTTGTTTTACATACCACAATCATTGCTGTTGCTGGATCATTTGCAGATTTTTTTGCAGACACAGAAAAGACAGATCTTTTTGCTGATCTGTGTTGGTGATTTATGTTGTGCTATTTGAAAATACCCATATTCATCAAATGTTAGCGTGTTATGAAAAAAAATAACTTAAATTTAGAAGGAAATTGAAAAAGTGTCCTGACATTATCCTTTTTCTTTCTTTCTTGCAGATGTGCCCTGCCACTCGCTTGTGAATCGTCTCCCTCAATGAAACTAAAGGAGGACCCTGTTTTATTCATCAAATATGGATTATGAATGGAAAAGCCTGCTTCAAGTGCAAATCTTCTGCATTAGTAAAATCAATTTTCTTCAAGGATTTTGCCAAATGATCTAATTTCAGCTGGGATATTTGGAGTAGATGAAAAAAACACATTTGCCTTAAAACCCGTTGAAAACCATTCGTCTTTTGCTTCACCTCCATGTTTTTGGCTGAGGAGTCATTTCTATATTTTTTGTTTGGCACAATATGTATGAATACAAACTATTCAGCAGATGTTAAATCTGTATTTTGATGGTATATGGAACCCAAGCCAACATGACGCACCATTTTGTTTTACTGAATCGGAAATGCATTCTACTTTTACTATGACCAGCGAGGAAACAAAGATGCAGATTTTGTTCTTGGCTTAGAGATTGCACAACAATTGTTCTTTTTTTTTATTCTTCACATATTTTTATCATCATGTGGAAAACTGGAGACTGGACGCTGTTGGCCGCGTTCATTTTAATATGCTGCTTTCGACATAGCTGGGGTCAAACCACAAGGACTAGTACCGCAACCTCGACCAAACCCGGGGACAGAGTGAAAAGAGGATGGGTCTGGAATCAGTTCTTTGTGGTGGAGGAATACACAGGCACGGAGCCACTATACGTCGGAAAGGTAAGGTGTTTAAAGTATCAATAAGTAAGATTTTCATGTCAAGTCATCGTTAAATGGCCTTGTAATGGTTTGTATTGTTTCCGCCACTGTTTAACCAATCAGAAAGTCCGTGATCCGGTTTGCCAGAACTCACTGGCGTCGAGTTAATCTCAATAGGTAAAATCCTCAAGCACTAGTCCTGACCAAGCCAAGCATCAATACCTGGAGATGTGTTCCTGGGGCGTTGTTACTACGGCAACCACTGCTCCTGATGGAAGCCTTAGTGGCATCAGGATGGGTCAAATGCAGAGGATGAATTGCCCTACGTGGATAAATTAAATTCACCTTACCTTACCTTAAAGTACCATGTGGTGCAGAACTAAAAAGGTTTCGTTAACGACAAAACAAGGAATAAAACCAGAATTTCTATCTTTGTGAAAAAGGTGTTGGTTATAGATTTGTTGTTGACAAAACTCTTGTCTATTCAGCTGTTATGGTCCCAGCTGGATGCATATCTGGCAACCTGAGTCAGGGAGAGTGGGAGAGGACCGTGATCGCAGTACCACTTTTGATATGTTAGATTTTCATGTCAAGTCATCATTAAAGGGCCCCAATCTGTAAAAGGCAGTAATAAAACATTCTCTTGTCTATTACTTTAACTGATGCAGTAGTTCAACCGAGATATTTGAATTTCAAAATTAGTTTTACAGCCCTTTAATCTTGTTATTGTTTTCATTTTGATGTCCCGCTCTCCGCCATGTTACCAATCAGAAAGTCCGTGATCTGGGCGTCAGAACTCACCTCGTGGAGCTAATCTCACTGGTAAAATACCATGTGGCGCAGAACTAAAAAAGATCTCGTTATGATTCTCAAATCATTAAAGACAAAATAAGGAATAAAACCAGGATTTCTATCTTTGTGAAAAAGGTGTTGGTTATAGATTTGTTGTTGACAAAACTCTTGTCTATTCAGCTGTTATGGTCCCAGCTGGATTCGTCTGCATATCTGGCAACCTGAGTCAGGGGGAGTGGGAGAGGCTGCAGTACCACTTTCGGCCATACTTTTACATACTGCTCCTGTTTATTAATGAATATTTCAGAAGGAGTTTAATCTTTGAATTAAAAGAGCGTTTGAAGTTCTCGTCGGTTTATACGCCTTGACTTTGCGCTGATGGAATAAAGCAATAAGTTGTAAACATTCAGCAGCAAATTTGCATATACAGCTACAAATGGGATTTCAAAAGGAAGATGTTACTTTTATACATTTATTAACTGCCCGAGGCGCACTTTCTTGTCAACATGTTTGTATATGCACTATGCCGTTTCAGAGTTGGCTGGAAAAAGTTGTCTTTGAAATCAACAGATAAGTAGAGTTGCATTCAGACGATGGAGAGATCAAAGTCCATGTTTTTGTCACTTGTATCGTTTCAGGAGATTCACTTTCCACCATGTTAATTACGAATAGACATTTTCATTATAGTAATTTAATGTATTTATTTATTCCAAACATTCACAAAATATACAAACAGACTACAACGATAAAAACCAATGGTGTAGGTTTGGTTCCAATCTTGGTGGGGACATTCACTACGACCTGAGTCTACACCCATTGACACGGGGTCCAGAGTTTCTCCCCCAGAATTTGTTGTGTAATCACACACTATATTTGCAATAGTGTGTTGCCTTCTATACTAAACTCAGCTGTAGACTGAATGAGAAGCAGTTATGTATGTTAACAGAAGATTAATCATCACAATTCATAATTTGCTATTACTTGTGCTTTCTCTTACTTACTTTCCAACTGTTAAAAAAGCTCCTGATATCTTTTATCTTTTTTTGTGGAGGTGGCATTTTTTCTAAATTATATAAGAAGGTATAGACAATCAAAAACAGAGATTCATATACATGAACTGCAGAATCATTTATATAACTTGTCCAATGTCAAAAGTTACATAGTATTTCTCAATACAATGAGTTAACAAGAGTTTGGCAATAAGTAACAGTGTGGATTTTTCTATATTTTCTTTTTTTTATTCCATTCTCAACCCAAAAAGGCAAGTAATGACTCACAGGGCTCTCAAGTATGCAAAATAAAAACTTAAATGACCTGTTGTGGTGTGTTTTGCGCACAACCAGCATGCATCGTTAACGCAATGGAAAATTTACGTATCCGAGCTTTAATTTCGGGAGCGCTGGTTGCGCTTTGGGAAGAGTCAGGGGAGAGACATGTCAGAGACACAGGGGAGAAACGGGGGAGATACGAGGGAGACCCGCACTTGCAACATGGTTCTGTCTGCATATGGTCCGAGCTCGGTACCATGTTAGAGCTGTGCTTTCACTGAGCGCCGCGGCTGTCATTACAAAGCGGCAGCAGCTGCACCAGGACGTGCACATTCGAGTGCATCGCTTGAATGTGCTTAGAGCAAATAACAGCAAGTGCCCGCTGTCACACATTTCACAGAAATTACATTATCAGCAGATAAAGGTTGTAAATCGTGGATCCGTGGAATATTTTCATCCCTAGTTTATCCTGATTCACACAACACACCCACTTATACATTTTGGATAGTAAGAGCACAATAAGTATTTTTTCAGCCTTTCAACCAACCTGTTTCTTTATTGGAGCCAGTTCTGTTCTGTCTCTGTGCCGTGTGAGCTCCTCGGAATATTAAACAGTGCGCTGACAGATTAGAAATAACGTAAGTACTTTGAATGGTGATAGATCTACAGTACTTTCCTCTGATTACTCACGTGCTACAACGCTCAGGGAACGAAAAAAAACACTTGCTTCACGCTGGATAACTTTAAAAATTAAACAGTTGCTCAGTGCTTCAGTTTGGCGCTGAAGAAGACAGCCAATCACTGCAGAGAACGGAACGGGTCACGTGCTGTTGCTGCTGCTGTTGCTCTGGAGGCGAGGAGGAGGCGCGACGTGTGCACGAACGGAAGACATGTGTCCCGGACCGTCCGGGTCCCGGGACATCATGTCATTTTGGTGGGGACTTTTTAGTCCTCACCAAATATTGGTGGGGACATGTCCCCATGGTCCCCACGCAAACCTACGCCCTTGATAAAAACAGATAAATACCTTTACATCTGGGGTTCCAAACATGTGGCCCGCAGACCTTTTGGCGCCGCTGATCTACGTTTAATGTCAGGGTCACTGAGAGTCTGAGCAAATATGGCTTGTTATACATCATTTTAAAGAACATGTTATTGAGGAAACAAATGTGCCATTCATTAAGTAAATAATGACCTGTAACGCAATGAATGCAAGTATAATTAAACCAGCTTCAACACTGAGCCTTCATCTCTTTGGTCCAGTTGTGCTCATAGACTCTAAATATTAATGGACGTAAGGTGTCACCACTTTTGCCTTTTGTGGGCACTTTGAAAATAGCCAGCGGCAAGAAGAGGGATTGTAGCATATCAGCCTGTGTGCTTATGGGCCTTTTGGAGCTTAGGCCACAGCAGCAGAGGTGGTGCAGCCGCTCGGTTCGGACCACCCTCTCTGCTCCTGTCCAAAGTAAAAATGCCAAACGCTTCATTTTATTGTGATGTATTTATTTATTTATTAAAGGAACAGTGCATATGTAAATATGCCAGAATTATCTGTAGTCCCTGGACAGTTGTTATGTGTCCTCCAGAAGGGATTAAAGATAACATTATATAAATTGTTGATTATAAAAAGTCACAGGTGCAAATGATGAGTCATAATCTTTCCACAAACGCTTGATTTATGGTTTTCCAGTGTTCCTCTCTGTTCTAAAAGTTGATGTTAATATATTGAAATATCAGATGGCTTGGGGAAAATGGCGCCGTGGCAAGAGCTCTGTTGTGCACTGAACAGTATGTAGTTTTCTAATGTGGTTTTACTGCAAATGGCAAATCAATCCTTGAAAAAAAATCTCTTGAATCTGAATCCTGAAATATGAATTTATTAATCAGTCCAGGAGCTAAACTGCGAAGGGAAATAGCTTGTGCCATTTTAGTGCTTTCATTCTATCTCTGCACGTGCATAAATATGTTTGTTGCAATGTACAAATACAGTATATCGCACACACACAGACATGATAAACATATACTCATGAATGCGGCTCAGCTTCAACCAGACTCGACCTCATGCGGTCCACAGCTAAATTGAGTTAGAGACCCCTGCTCTACATGGTTTGAAAATGCTGGATCCTGAATGGCTGGGGGCGATAGGATTAACTGTTTGCTTGATCCAATGCCCTCCCAGCCGTTCCGCATGCATGAGCCTAGTATTTTTGTAGCTAAAAAATATTTATGCTTTGTCCATCAGTCGTTTTAAATCCTTTTGTAACTGACATTTTCTGAATCGCGGACTCATCGCAGACTAAAACAAGGTCCTTTGTATGTTTGTATGTTTACATGTTAGTATTCTCTGGATTATAGGTATCTGGACCCTTTAACACGCACAGTAAGTTCTTAGTCTATAGCTTCAAATCTGGACTTATTTAAAGTAAAGAAAGATAAAAGTAACGATGAACTCAGTTGTCATTATCAATAATACTTTGATTCTTCAAATCTTCCGAGTCATAATGTGTGTGACTGTAATTATCACGTTTCTGACCGAATCTGATGCCACCGTCTAAAGGCATTATTCACTGACACAATCACACGATAATCATGCATCAAAGAATATCTGTTTCCCATCATCGCCGTACCGTGCTTACATTGGGGAATAATCACTTCTTGTGCTGCCCTCGCCTCACTCCTCCATCCAGTCATCCGTCACTTCTCCAAACGAACTCTGATGATCTGAGGAGAGTGGACAGCGGAGATAATTTGATCGGCTTACATGTGACAACATATGAGAAGATGCCATAGCGTTACAGACAGCCCTTAGATCAACCATTGACGCAGCCAAACCGCAGACATCAATCTCACTCTGCTTCATCTTTGCCACAGCGAATCATTTAGAGAACCACGTGCAACATTTGTGTAGTATTGATCAGTCTACTCTGGAGTGTGTCTATACCAGAGGATACCGGGACTCAT